TTCATCACTTTAAAGAGGTCTTGTACAGCAGATTTACCTAATGCAATACATCGTTTGATTTCTTGATGCTGCTTCCATGAGTGTTGATGGTTGATCTGAGAAAAATGAAGTCTTTGACAACTTCGATGTTTTCTCCATTTATATGGATGTGATTTATTGGTCCAGTGGTGAGGACTTTTATTTTCTTTACATTGAGATGCAATCCATACGTAAGGCTGTGCACTTTGTTCTTCATCAGTAAGTATTTTAAGTCCTCTTCACTTTCAGCAAGGAAAGTTGTATCACTGCATGTCGCAGGTTGTTAATGAGTTGTCTTCCACTCCTGATGCCATGTTTTTCATCATATAATTCAGCTTCTTGGATTATTTGTTCAGCATACAGACTGAGTAAGTATGGTGAAAGAATACAATCCTGGCATACACCTTTCTTGATTTTAAATCAGTTAGTGTTCCCTTGTTTTCTTCGAACAATTGCCTCTTGGTCTATGTACAGGTTACTCATGAGTACAATTAAGCGTTGTGGAATACTCATTATTCATAAGGTTATCCATAGTTTGTCATAATCCATACAGTGGAAAGTGGGATAGAAAGGAATACTGGGAATTATGATTATAGAAAACACCTAAGCCTTTCGGGTTACTAATGCCTAAGATATTGCTCTTTATGCCTTCCATTTCATTCTTGGTAACTTCCAGTTTTCCTAGATTCATGCTTCGTACAGTCTGTATTCTGATTATAAGTGGATGTTTGAAGCTATTTCCTCTTATTTTGAGTTGTGTCTATCAGGAAAGGAAGGTCCTGAAAACTTTGCTCCATTCATGTCATAATGATAAACTATGAGGAGGCACCTCTTCCCCGTATACTTCGAGTACCTTCCTGCTTGAGGGGCTCATCTTCCAGCATTATATCTGTCAGTGTTCAGGTTTTCAGTGGGTAAACCTTCAGAAATAGCCCACGTCTCTGTCCTCATCTGTCTTAGTATGGAAGCGCCGCTGAAACCTGAGTACCATGTGGGGACTTGCTGATATGTAAAATACTGGTGGCATAATTTACAGCATCACAGCCAGACTCAAGCCACCACAGTATGACAGACTGATAGACAAGTGGTGGCTGTAGCACCTGGTTCTTGGAGCTCAGTGGTATGGTTTATGATTTTACCTTTTCTAGGATTTCCTATAAATGGAATCATATCGATGGTAGTCTTGTATTTCACTTGGTTTTGAAAGGAGCTAGACACAAAAGACCACATGGAGTATGATTCCATGTTTATGAAATATCCAGAAAAGACGAAGCCTATTATCACGACAGAAAGGAGAGTAGTGATAGTGGAGAAGAGGCAAGAGAAAACAGAGATGGTTATGAGGGGCCATATTTCGGTAATGAAAATGTTCTCAAATGGATTCATGGTTAGGGTTGTACAGCTTGGTAAATTTACTTTAAAAATCACTGAATTGTACACTTGAAATGGCTGAATTACATAGTATGTAAAGATACCTTAATGAATTTAGTTTAGAAAGACATTGTTAACTAAATGAAATATAAAGAACTCATATAACTCAATAACAGATATAGACGTATCAAGGAAAACGGACAAAAGATTTGAGCTGACACTTCACCAAAGAAGATATACAAATGGCAAACACCTGAAAAGATGTTCAACATCGTTAATCATTGTTGTTGTTAAGTGCTGTCCAGTTGGTTCCAGCTCATAGTGACCCTGTAGGATTTTTGAGGAGCAGTTGGTGAGCCTGAATCACCAACCTTGCAGTTCACAGCACCAAACTAGGGCTACGAAAATGCAAATTGAAACTACTACACATATAATGCCAGCAAAAATGTGAGAGTAGGACCACCTAAAAATCTCTTCCTGCATGAAAGCAATGAGAAAACTGGTAAAAATAGGATCTTTTTTTTTTTTTTTTTCCAAAACTTTAGAAATCTTGAAAAATGAGGTGTTTTTAGAGGCTTTCAACTATCCGGGGCGTGCTATTAAAGAAAAACTACCAAATCTGAGAGAAAAAGAAACAGTAAGCTTTGTGGCATTTTAACTCACCTGTGTGGTGCTGTAGGGATAAGCATTGGACTGCTAACCACAAGGTTGGCTGTTCAAACCCACCATCCACTCTTCAGAAGCTCTATATATGGGGTCGCTATAGGTCGGAAGGAGTCCTGGTGTGGCGCTGTGGGCTAATGTGTCAGACTGCAAAGTCGTTTGAACTGCAAGGTCGGTGGTTCAACCTCACCAGCTGTTCCTTGGAAACCCTATACAGGGTTGCTATTTAAAAATCGGAATCGACTCGACAGCAGTTAACAACAACAACAACATGGGTCGGACATGATGCAACAACACTTAACAGCAATTCCCTGGTAGCCTGCAAAGTCAGTTTGAAACACGAGTTCGTTCAGTGGGTCCAGCTCGCCAGCCACTTTTCGCTATGAGTCAGAACCGACTCGAGGGCATTTTACACCAACAATCACTCACTGGAAAGGGTCGTGCTGTGGCTTGTTTTGATTCAGAATTGACTCAATGGCACTGGGGTGCCTCCGGTTTTGGTTTTGGTTTTTGGCAGCCACCAGAGGGGCTGGAGGGAGTTGGAGCAACTTCCAAAGTCTTATTACAAGAGCTTTGTTATTATTCGGCCTGTCTAATGGAAGACCCTAAGCCCTGGTGTGGTGCTGTGGGTTAATGCACTAGACTTTAAAGTAGGTTTGAACCATAAGGTTGACGGTTCAAACTCACCAGCCACTCCTTGGAAACCTTATACATGGTCATTACTATGGGTTGAAACTGACTCATTGGCAGTTAACAACAATGACATGTAGAAGATCCTAGGTATGGCACTGTAGGATAGGCTCAGGATCGCTAATTGCAAGGTCATCAGTTCAAACCTACTAGCCAGCTTGGAAACCCTATGTAAGATTGCTATGATTCAGAACCGACTCAATGGCACTTAACAAGTGGAAGACCCGACTGACAAGGCTGTCTTTATTTGACCGGATTTGAACTTGCTCACTAAGAAAGACCAAGGAGCTTTGTTAGTGTAGTGGTTCCGAGTTGAGCTGCTAACCTCAAGGTCAGCAGTTCAAAACTACCAGCTGTTTCATGGGAGAAAGATGAGGGTTTCTGCTCCCATAAAGATTTACAGCCTCGGAAACCCTGTACAGGGTCGCTATGAGTCAGAACCGACTCCACGGCACATCACAACAACAACAAGAACAACTAAGACCAGGTAAATGATTAACTTCAAAACTGCCTGAAACAGTGGCTAACAACTGGATCAAACAACAGAGTAACCAGAAAGCTTCCAAGGAAAAGTTAGAAATTGACTTGTTGATAAAGGAGCTGTGAAAAGCTCTAAGGTACCTGGCAATCTACAAGGCCTGATTTCTGTGTAACTCTGTGCATATACATAGGGCTAAGAGCATCATCACGAAAGGCCCTGTCTTCTCACCTCTAACTGAGCTTGAGGCTCTCTCTGCACACGTACAAAGTGAAGGCTAAGGTGGAATTGTCAATTTTGCCATTGAGATTGAAGGTATGTCTCAACATGCACATACAACTCTTCAGCAAAGACAGGAAGACATATTGGCTCCAGGAATTATAGGATGTTTGAGTCTAATCACTAGCCAATCACTAAGCTAAACAGAGACTTCAGTGACCAGACATGACGGAATATGAATTTTATGCAAGTGGTTAAGAAAACTAACCAGACATCAAGCTTTGGTGATGGGAAAGCTGATTACCAGATATCAGAGAGAAAAAAAAATCAACAAAGACCAACAACTACACACCCAGTAGAACTGCTGAATTTAAAAAGACTGATGATGGTCCCAAGTGTTAGCAAGGATCAGGAGCAACTGGAACTCTCACACATTGATGGTAGGAATGAAAAATGGTACAGCCACATTGGAAAATAATTTGGCAGTTTCTTATAAAGTTAGTGTACATTTTCCATAAAACAAAACAAAACAAAAAACCTTTGTTGCTGTCAAGGGAATTTTGATTCAAGAAACCCTGCAAGACAGAGTAGAACTGCCCCTACCGTTTCCAAGATTGTAAATATTTATGGAAGCAGACTGCTATAGCTTTCTCCACTTGAGTGGCTAGTGGGTTTGAACTCCTGGCCTCTCGGGTTAGCAGATAGTTAACCATTATGCCATTAGAGCTCCTATGCTTGTACAATACAGCAATTCCATTCTTATGTATTCACCCTGGAAGCATGACATTTAAAAAAAAAGATGTTCATTCTTGAAATAAGGAACATAGGAATTTCTTTACAAAAATCTCACCAAATAAAACGTTCTAACAAACTATATATTGTAGTTCCTGGGAGTCTTACAAATGAAACTATAAATGGAATGAGAACTGAAAGTCTCACTACCCACTACCATCAAGTAGGCTGATCCAACAACAACAGCCGGAGAGTTTCCAAGGCTGGGCTCCTGGTATGCCACTCACTGTAGGATAAGCACTTACAGGATAAGATTGATTGGAACTGAAAGTTCAAACTCATCAGCCGCTCCTCAGAAACCTGATACAGAGTTGCTATAAGTCAGAACCAACTTGATGACACTTAACAACAACCCTTTCCAGAAGCCATAAAGTATCATTTTTCTTCTACTCAGAGGCTGGTGGGTTTGAACTGCTGACCTTGCAATTAACAGTTCATTCCTTATCCCACAGCACTGCTAGGGCTCCTGTAAATGGAATGGCATATCCTAATTTCTAGAGCTTGTGAATAAACATATTTGAATTTACTTGAACTTTTTAGAATTGTACAAATGTTCTAATTTTTAGAAAATATTACTTATATATAAGGTCTACAATTTTGCTGTTTTGGGTTTCTGTGAGGCAGATGTTGGCTGCTGGCAGCCCCAGGGGCAACGTGAACAAATGATCTATGTTTCATTTGGAGTCTAGAGTTACAGCTCCAATTTTCTGATGGTTTTGTGGGTATATGCTCAGATTTTGAATTTACTTTCCTTTCTATATTTTTGTAGGTTTGTTGCCACACCTCTAGCAAAAGCATTTGGCATTACAAAAATGACTCGAAGGAGTGTTATACCAAATACTGTCTTGGAGAATTTTTTCAAATGTTCCACAAGGCATCCATCACAAGTAAGTAGAAATTATTTGCTATGGGATTTTTAAATCTCCTTTCTTAATGTCTCTGTTAGGGATCCATGATTTACTTTATCTGTCACAAAAGATCTGGTCCAGTTAATTGGCAAATAGTTTCATTCATTTCTTTGTTCCCTTGACAGATCACACACTATCTCATGCATAATGTAGAAATAACAAATAAATGTTGCAGTATAAAATAACAATTAAATGTTAAGAATTTAACAATCAATACCAAGAATTGAGTGTAGAGATCAAAATTTCAAAATTTAACTTTTAATGGTAGTGGTTATGAGTCGAGCTGCTAGCCCTCAAGGTCAATAGTGTGAAACTACCATCTGTTCAGTGGAAGAAAGATGAGGCTTTCTGCTCCCATAAAGATTTCTAGCTTCAGAACCACTATACAGGGTCTCTGTGAGTCGGAACCTGCTCCATGGCACACAGCCACCACTACCACCAGATACAAAATATATTGACTGAAAAAGGTCTTGAGGGCATATCTGACAATTTTGATGATTATGGAACCGTCAACATAAAATGTCTATTGGGGTAGAAATATTCTATATCCTGGTTCAACCTCCAGAGACTGAATCTTTTAAGAGTTTAGCTTTTCAGAATAGATACTGTCTTCCACAGAGTGTTGTAGTATTAATATCATATATACAGATATGATATTTATATATCATAGAAAAACTTACTGGTTTATAACCTACTAGTGTTTGTCAGGTGCCCAGGTAGTTCTCATGTTTGCTCCAGAATTATTGCACTTCTGTAGTTGGAAATCAGCCACACATCTGTCAGCTTGTCCTGTGGTGTTTTGTGTGTTGCTGTGATTCTGGAAGCTGTGCCACCACTGTTTTAAATACCAACAGGGTCCCCCATGGTAGCTTTTCAGGGGAGCTTCCAGACTGAGACAGACTAGGAAGGAGGAGAGACGGAATACTCCCAAATATTTAGTCACTGGAAACCTTATGAATAGCAGTGGAACACTGTCAGGTAGCACAAGAATATTGAATATTGAAACATGATGAAGAATACCAGAATATTGTCAGATACAGTGCCAGAAAATGAGTCCGTCAGGTTGGAAGGCACTCGAAATATGACTGGGAACGAACTGCCTCCTCAAAGTAGAATTGACTGTGGTGACCAATTGGAATAGGCTTTTGGGACCTTCATTTGCTGATGGGGCACAAGTCAAAATGAGGAGAAATAGCTGTTGTTGTTGTTGTCATGAAGTGCTGTCGAGTCAGTTCCGACCCATAGCGACCCTGTTCAGAATATGGAAGGTATGAACTATAAACCTAGAAAAACTGGAAGTTGTCAACAATGAAATGGAATACATAAACATTGATATCCTAAGCATTGGTGAGCTGAAATGGACTGGTATTGGGAATTTTGAATGTGACGGCCACATGGTTTACTATGCCAGGAATGACAAATTGAAGAGGAATGATGTCACATTCATCATCTAAAAGAACATTTCAAGATCTGTCTTGAAGTACAACACTATCTAGGTTAGGATAATGTCCATATGCCTACAAGGAAGAACAGTTTATACAAGTATTATTCAAATTTATACATCAACCACTAAAGCCAGTGATGATGAAATTGAAGAATCCTACCAACTTCTTCAGTCTGAAATAGATAAAACAATGCAATCAAGATGTATTGATAATTACTGGCTCAAATGTAGCAATGATTATGAGGTTGGGCAGGAGGGGCAGTGTTTTATTCTATTGTGCATATGAGTCGGTACCAAGTCAAGGGCACCTAACAACAGTAGTTGGAAATGACAGATGAAACAATACAGATTTCTCCAGAAGTGGCATTCCTTCTATGATAAACGTAGATAGATATTTAGAATAATTTTTAAAGTCAAGAGTGTGAGTGTGAGCTACAACAGTTTTAGGATAGATGGCTCTTTAAAGGTCCTGACCTTTCTTTAGGTGCCCAGTGGCACTGTGTGTTTGGTCACTGTGATTGGAGTGCACTCTACAACAGTGGGTTTTGGGTTTGGAATGGCCATGCAACAGTTAAAAGACAGCTTAATAAATGCATTTTGTAAAGAAGAGTATAGAATCTGAAAGCTAGATGAGACTAAGGTAGCCTTTCGGCTTCATGACTGAGATGAGGAAACCAAGGTCCAGGGTCAAAGCTGGAAGCCAGTCCTTAACACTCTCTTCAGTAGGCTTCATAATACACTTCAGTCAATATAAATATCTGTGACTGGAACATTAAAAATGGATTTCAAAGATTGAAACTTTATTTGTAGTCATTGTTCTAACTCATTTGACATTACTAGATGAGTTGTTGTTGTTGTTAGGTGCCATCGAGTTGGTACCAACTCATAGCGACCTTATGCACAACAGAATGAAACA